ACCTACAGAGCCAAGTGTCACACAGGAGTTTAGGGTTACTGGGAATAGGTTATTATTCCACCCTATAGGAAAGGGATTAACTAGATAATTGCCTTTCTTCATATTGAAAATAAGTTTCCCCGTCAGTGATCGGCCACTAGCGCCCCCCCCCCAGGATCAGGAGGCACCAGTCACCCATGCTCGTACCCAAGCCAGCCCTTCTGCAGTGCATTGAGCTAGGAGGAGCAGCTCTGGGCTGGCAGACTGACTCCTGGGGCCCCCTGCCAGCCAGGGCTGCTCCACCGGGGCTCCATGTGCTGCACCTAAATAAACTGTGGAGCTTATTGCTCCAGAATTAATTGCTCCCAGGCACACTTCCAATGGTGTGTGCACAAGCAATTAACTCCGGAGCAATAAGCTCTGCAGTTTATTCAGGGACTGTTATTGCATGTGTAGATGTGCCCAGTGGTTACTGTACTTTGTGGTATTCCATGCAACAGTGCAGGAGAACACCTCATTAGGGTGATCACCCAAACCTAATTGGGTAGGTCAGTCCCAAATGGGAACATCAAGTCTCAGTTCCGGGCTGCATGACTCCAGGACAGCATTTGTCCTGGATTCCCGGTATTGTGCAGAAATCCAGGTTTTATGTTCACCGTGGAAAAACGTGGAAAATGGTGGCTTTCCCCTTGCTGGCTGGCAGAGGTCCAGTCTGCAAGGGACTGCTTGGTGCTGGGAAGAGCGGGATGCAGGGTGCACCATGTGTATGTGTGTGTGTACACATTCATGTGGCCAGAAATACAGCTCCAGTTAGCAATGAAGAGCAGCTCCCCCAGCTGCTTGAAAGTAAGTCTATGGGGGGGAGGATTGGGGGGGAGGGAGCCAATTAAGTGACGACCTGGCCCTAATTGGGCAGGTCAGTCCCAGAATGGGAACATCAAGTCCTGGTCCAAGGCTGCATGACTCTGGGACAGCGTTTCTCCTGGATTCGCAGTATCGTGCAGGGATCCGGATTTTCCATTCACTGCAGAAAACCACAGGAAATGGGTTTCCCCTTGCATGCTGGCAGCATTCCAGGCTGCAAGGGAGCAGGAGGCAGGGGGCGCACCACATGCATGTGTGCACCTGCACGCATGCACGTGGCGGGGGTTACAACCAGGCAGCATGGAGAGCAGCTCCCTGCAGGTAAGTCTATGGAGGGGAGGGGGTAAGGGGGAGATGGGAGTGGCAGATTGAGGCCTCCATGGTGAGGGAGGGAGTGGGGGGAGGGCAACAGGTTAGGTAGCCCCAAGCCCACAACGGGCAGCCCACATCCTCTCCTGCCACCATGGGCTCCACTCAGCTCTGTTCTGGCTGCACCATTGCAGAGGGGCGGAGAAGGCAAGCATGTATCCCACTTTTCCATTTTGCCTCATATTAATTAAGCCCAGCACCTTGGCATGACCGGAGGCAGGGGGAAGGGTTGTTGGGGGCAGAGACTTGGTATGACCCTTCCAAGTAGGATCCATGTTGCAGTAGCAAACTCAAAGGAATCTTAAAGGGAAACACTGCTTAGCAAGCGCAGCATTCCCAACTCTCCCAGGCTAAAAAAACAGATGAGTTTATACTGGGCTTTGACTTGCATCAAAGTAGGTTGGATACTGTCATTTACACATGCAGCTGGAAAGGCAATTCACTCAAATTTTAGTCCCACTTGTCCTGAGGATGGAGGGGGTTGGGGATAGGAGACGGGGGCGGGCAGTGGCGACGTGTAGGGGGTGCACGGGTGGTGCAAGTGCCGGCCGGGGAGAGGAGTGCTGTGGCGCTCCCAGAAGTGGCTGCAGTGATTGGCTACAGCGATCCGCTGTCTTGTGATCAGCCACAGAGGACCCCTGCCTCCAGTTGGCAGGATTGGCCAAGGGGGGGCCCCCTCCCCTGGTCACTGACTGTTCGCTGGGGGGGCACATGCCCGACTAAGGTGACACCAGCTGCCCATAGGGGCAGGAGTGTTATCTCAGTACTTCATGGGCTAGAGACAGACAACTGGTTTGATTTGGATTTGAGTGTCTGGTCAAGCATTTGTTTGGATAATTCATAAGCACTTCACGTAGGACAAGGGGCTGGGGTTTGCCCTAAAATAAAACACTCAAACTGGAATCAAGCTGGTTGTCTGTTTTTAGCCTGACAACATTTTGCCTGAGAACAACCGCAGCTGCTTCGAGGGCACTGCCATTTAAACCTTGTGTGTAAATGACTGTCCCACACCACAACCGATGCAAGTCAAATCTCAGACTAGTCCGCCCTGCATTAAATGGTAGTTTAATAGTACTTTTGGTTCGATTATAGAGGTGAGGTTATGGATTTGTACAGGATGATTTGGATAGGGATGATCCTGCCTCAGGCAGGGGACTGGACTAGATGACCTCCCAGCCCAACGCTGTACACTATAGGCCCTGCATACAGAGAAACCAGCTATAGAGTTGTTACACATTTTCAAGCACTAAGACTGTAGTCTGGCTCTTTTTATAGCTGGATGAGCACTTTTATGGGGTAATAATTACTTTGCACCTGTGACCAGTCTACATTTATTGTGCAATTTGCCAGCGAACTGCATAATGATTGCACACGTGGCTGGTTTTACTTTGCACGCGTGGCCTGTCTACATTTATTGTGTGCTTCACAAGCAAGCTGCATGACAGTTTGCTTGTGTGGCCTGTGTTACAGTGCACGAGTGGCCGGTCTACATTTATTGTGCGATTCACCAGCCAATGGCATGACAACCGCTTTGGAAGTGTGGCCGGTTTAAATGGATTGCACAGTTGCCCAGTGAAGGACACACGAATCGCTTTACACGTGTGGCCGATCTCAATTAACGGCAGGATTCACCACTCAGTTGTTTCACGTATGGTGGTAACGTGTGTCTAGGCCCTGGGAGGCTCGGGTTTGAACCAGGGGGAGGGGGAAGGGGAGCGGGGCTTCCACATCCTCTCCCCGGCGCGTGCTCAGCCCCGCTCCCGGAGTGCAGGGAGGCGGCGGGGCAGAGGGAAGGGAAGGGAGCGCTTTCCTCACAGGAGGAGGCAGGGCCGCGCCTCCCTGCTGCCCCCGTGAGGCTGGCGGCGGAGGCGGAGGCGCCGGCATGGCGAGCCTGAGGCGGCTGCGGGCGGC